AAGTTTTCATTTTTAGAGAAAGAAAATATTTAAACTTTTTTATTGGGAGAAACTATCTTAAAAAGTTTAGAGAGAGAAACTACTCAAATTTTAAGTTTTAGAGAGAAAATGTCTTCAAATTTTAGAAAGATAAACTACATAAAATTTTAGAGAGAGAAAGTACTTAAAAAAATTTAGAGAGAAATTATATCAAATACTTAGAGAGAGAGAGAGAAACTATCTCAAATTTAATAAAAAAACATTATAATAAAGAATATAATAAAAAATTTTAAAAAAAAAAAATCTTCATACCCCTTATATTTTTAGGTTTTATTTCACAATAGCCCCAAGCTTTTAAAAGATATCTTGAGGCATAAATATTGTAGATTTTATTTCTTCTAACCCTCTGAGTTAAATTAAACTTGTTTTTTTAAGCCAAACAAATCTAAAAAAACATGTCTTTTCTAAAAGTCATCCTCCTAAACTTCTAAAGAGAGAGAGGAGCTCTTGGAGATGAGAACTTATCGGGAGGAGAGAGAGATGTGTTCGGAAAAACACAAGAGGAGAGAAAAAGTGAGAGAAGAGAGTGAAAGAGAGAAGTTTGGGGTATATAAGTGAAGAGAGAGAAATGATTGGATTTAGAAAGAGCATGTCTTTCTACATTTGTTTAGGTTAAAAACTACGTTTGAAATGATCCGGGAGATAAAAGATATCTTTTGAAAATTTGGATTTATCAAATAATGAAACATAAAATAGCGGATATGAAGATTTTTCCTCAAAAAAAAAATGAAAATGTTACGCATCCATGTAGCATCTAAACAGCGGAAATCTATTTCATAGGAAATGCTTTTCTCGAAATAAATTTTAATAAAAATAGATCTTTCCTGGTAATCTATTTCCGTGGATCCAAAAGGCCCCTTAATGTCTATATCATTTTCTCGATGACCAAAGATATGGAAAGTATTGCATGGATCAATCTTAATCTAACGATGGTCAACCCTTATGAGAATTGCGAAATCTAGGGGTGTAACTGTAAACTAGGGGTGGTAACGGTCGGGTCGGGTGGGGTCTGGACCTAGACCCGAAGTTATCAGGCGCGGTCTCGATTGGACCCAACCTGACCTGGACCCAGACCCAATTGGACCCGACCCAAAAATTATGTATATATATATAACGCTAGGTCAGCCTCAGCCCATTTGATGGAATAGGACATGTCTAATGACCAAAATTGAATCTGGGCCAATTTGACTGTCAGGATTGTATTTCAGTAATATAATTTTAATATATTTTTATATAAATCTAAATAGCATGAAATTTGAGGCATAAACTCTTCTCATCAAGGGAACTTAATAAAATATTAAACAAATAATTTGTATAAAGTGAATTGACAAAAATACCCTAGGACTTTATCAGAGGTATTTTGGTCAATTTATTTTATGTGAATTATTCTTTTGATATTTTTATTATATTCCACTATTTTTGAAGAATAGACGCTCTAAATTTCAAATGATTTTAATTTATATAAATAAAATTAAAATTCAATTACGAAATACAATTGTGATTATTTGATCGACTCAGATTCAATCTACAAATTTGAGGATGTCTCTTTTATCATGCCCGCAGCTGATTAACACCTTTTGCCTTCTCATTGAATTCTAATGCTGAAATTAGCAAGAAATTCGAACTTATGAATGATTGAAACGTATCAAGATTGTGTTAA